CAGCCAAAGCAGCCCAGCTCAGGGTTGCAGTTTAATACATACATATGGATGGGGCATGGCAGAATCATAGAATCCTAGAATACTAGAACTGGAAGGGACCTTGGGAGGTCATCGAGTCCAGTCCCCTGCACTCATGGTAGGACCCAGTACTGTCTAGATCATCCCTGATAATGTCTAGCTAACTTGCTCTTAAATATCTCCGGCGATGGAGACTCCACAAGCTCCCTAGGCACCACACAGGATTAAAAGGGTGAATACAGCCATAGGCCAGTGTTCCCTGTAAGCTGGGCGCTTCTGTGGCTGCTCAGGGGAAATTCCAATGCTGTACAGGTGATTAGCAGAGCGCCCACAGCTAGGTTTTGTGTTTCTACTGTTGGAGCACATTTACACATGCTTGGGTGTACATAAACATTTATTCTGCACATGGATGGAAAGGATTAGCGGGAACATTGCCACAGGCTCACCTGTAGACTGGGCTCTTGTAAGGGTTCCAAAGCCAGAAGGCAGCTCTGCATCTGCTTTGGTTAAACTGGGGGTGTGGCAGGGGCATGCGTGCATACTGCAGGAAAGAGGTGGGTAGCTGCACCCACACAGAACAGCAAACTGGGACCTTATCTCGTGTCATCTAATTTCTGTGCAATCTTTAGCAACTGCAGGACGCTTTTAAGATCAACAACAGCTGATAAGCCACATGAGCACTGGGTGGCAAAGCAGCTGCGTTTGCAGGGTGGAGAATCTTCCTACAGCAGTTTTTGAGAAACGCTAAGGCCCCCCCACCCTCAATGGCAGCAAAACTTGAGGGAAAAAAAAAGAAAAAGGAACAGACCTGGTCTGAAAAACAAAAATCGTAGCAAAACTTGGGGGGGGGGGGACTGGGTCACCTTGTGCCCCCCCCCCAGTGACACACACCCCAAGTTTGGGAACCCATGGATTAGGCCATTGGCTCCCACTGTTTTTCCTATTTGTAAATCTGGCCCATTTTGTTTTGGCTGAGGGAAACATGGGGCAGGGACTTCAGTTCTTTATGTAGAGATAGGGTGACCATATTTCCCTAGATGGAATACAGAACACCAAAAGGGGGGCCTACTGGCTCTGGGGGCTTTAGCCTGGAGTGGGGGAAAGCCGCCAAAACTGAGGGCGTCAGTCCTGCAGTGAGGGGGACAGGAGCTGCCGGTGCTCAGGGCTGCAGCCCCACAGAAGGTTGCCAGGTGTCCAGTTTGGAACTGGACAGTCCAGTATTTGAGTTTTCTGTTCAGGAACCAAATTGAGAAAAGAGAAATGTCCGGTATCTTCCAAATCAGATGCAATGCAGATTGTGATGTAATGTCAAGTGTGTCTGGTAGTTTTGTTGAAACCATCTGGCAACCCTAGCCCCACGCTGGGAGGGAGCTGCTGGTACTCAGGGCTTCAGCCCTGGAGAGGGCAGGGGAGGAGGCACCAGTGCATGGGGGATTCCAGCTGCTGACTCTCCAAGTGCGGTGGCTCCCCACCCACCCTGTGCAGCTGGAGAGATGAAGTTCAGCACTGCAGCATGCAGGGAGGGCAGCAGAGCTGCTGGTGCTTGGGGCACCAACCACTGAAGTCCTGAGCACTGGCTCCTACTCCCCCTGCAGGGGAAACGGGGGACAATGTGTCCTTAAAAAAAAAAAAAAGTTGGGACAGCTGGAGGAGGCCTTAAACAAGGGGCTGTCCTGGTAAAAATGGGATGATCACCCCACGTAGACAGCAGAGATCGAACAAAACAGCAGCATTGCAAGCTTCCTCCTCCCATCACCTGTAGGAGCCATCTCTAGCCCCCTGCACAGGGTGGGTCTGGTGCATGACTAGGGCTCCAAGCTGGAAACGCCCTCTTCCACTCTAGCCTTTCTGCTGAGACTGGCCTTCAGGAACCACCAGTGAGAGTATCAGGAACCACGAGTGTGTGGGGCTTGTTGTGAACTTGCTTGAGTGCCCCCTCTTCTTCCCCCTAGTCCAGTAACTCTACCGCACTCTTACAGGTAGCAGCTGTCTGCCTTGCAGCAGTGCACTTAGTGCTGTTGCTCATGCAGGCTCCCGCCTCCTCTCTGCCTTTCCCCAGGGGGAAGTTGCGGGTCGATTTAAAATAACATTTCCTATTACTCTGTGCTGTGTGCTTAAAGGCAGGGTTAAAGCGACAGTGCACTTTGTACTTAAGAATTGAAAGTGCTGAGGCTGGTGGCGAACGCATTAGCCTTGCTAACACCACTCCCCATTCCTATTTCCACCACAGTCCCAGTGCAAACACAGAGTGAGCTCTCTGCACTGAGAGCCAAGTACAGGGTGCATGCGGCTCAAGGACCCTTATCTTCCTATGCCCCACCCCTTTTGAGATGTGATGCAACTCCCTCAGGGCCTCATCTACCCTCCCCCTTCAGTTAGCCAAAGGAGGGTTTGTCAGTGGGAAGCCATCTGAGGCTCCCCATCTCTGCACCCTCCCCCTTCAGTTAGCCAAAGGAGGGGTTGTCAGTGGGAAATCATCTGAGGCTCCCCATCTCTGCGTGCACAGCTCCCACTGAGCCAGGGGAGCATGCTGGGTTCTTTAGCACAGTCTCTCCTTTGGGGCTACAGCAGGAGGGTGCTTGTAGATTGCAAATGACACCCCATCACAATGACAGTTGTCACAGATGCCATATTTTGGTATAAAGAATCCCTTTCCTCCTTCAATAGTGGAAAGGCTGCAATGCCCATGGCTACATCATTCTCCTTAGACCAGGACACGGCAACACGAGAGGCTGTGCCACCTGTCAGTCTTCCCCTGTACCGGAACATACCCCACCCTCTGGGATATGGAACTGCCCTTCCAGAGAAAGGAGTAGCTTTGCTGCAAAGTCTACCCCCAAGAGGGCTGCTTAGCACCCAGAAGTACCAGTCCTACCAGCAGCTAGACCAAAGCCATCATCCCATTTCACTGCTGAAAAGTAATTCTTCCATGTGCCCATAGAACTGTCTTTGTGACAGCAGAACAGAAGAGACCAATGTCCAGCAGTCATTCTTAGTCTGTACAGAAAGATGGTGCCAGATAAACAGCACTGAACCTGGGAGTTGAATGCCTCAGAGCACCTGTACTTCCTTATAGACTAACAGAAGTGTTGGAGCATAAGCTTTCGTGGGCAAAGATGCATCTGACTAAGTGGGTCTTTGCCCACGAAAGCTTATGCTCCAACACTTCTGTTAGTCTATAAGGTGGCACAGGACTCCTCGCCGCTCTTGCAGATTCAGACTAACACGGCTACCCCTCTGATACTGTACTTCATCACTTATTTCTTCCTCCCCACCACACATCCCTGCCCTGATGGTCCCTCAAGGGTTCATCAACAGTGCTGCTGCCATTGCCTGGGGCTGGGTGACTGACTGGAAAGCCCTCCCATTGAGCCCCAGGAAAGAGATACAAGGCTAACTGGAGATACCTGGCTACAGCCCATCACCTCAGCAGCTCCCACTCCCAGAATGAGGTTGCTTGGTGAATCAAAATTAGCTGGAAATGTGCTGGTGATCCAGCAACCCCACACAGAGCCTCACCGTATTTGCAATGAGAAGCTTCACACTAAGGGCCAGGTGCTTTGGGACTGCAGGGCTAAGCAGAGTGCAGGCTGAATGGATAACCAGGTGTCTGGCACTCAAGAGGTGTAGCATCCTATAACAGCACTGTTCAGGATGCCTTGCTGATGAGGCCGGGGAGACACAAGGATTCAAAGTTCATGTCCTCTTCAGTGCTTGAGATTTAGAGTAGATGAAAAGTGTGAAATGTTTCATTCCAAAGGTGCTTTAAGTCTCTCCTTCAGATCAGTGGTTTGCAGCCCACTCAGCATACAGCTGTGGCCCTTGTGACAGCCTCAGGGCTATACAGGTAGGATTTACAATGTGTGGCTACAGCCCACATAACAGAGAGGCTGCGTCTAGACTGGCATGATTTTGCGCAAAAATCTTGCCACCTGTCTACAGTGCCCGTATTTGCACAAGAACACTGACTTTGTAATGTATAAAAATCAGTGATTCTTGAGCTTATACTCAGATAAGCCCTCTTGCTCAAGTATTCTTGCGCAAGAGGGCCAGTCTAGACAGCCACGTTAATTTCTTGCGCAAGAAAACCCGATGGCTAAAATGGCCATGGGAGCTTTCTTGCGCAAAAGCGCGTCTACACTGGCACAAATGTTTTTGCGCAAAGGCACATGCCAGTATAGACGCTCTCATGCGCAAATACTTTTAATGCAAAAACTTAAGAGCATTTGCGCAAAATCATGCCAGTCTCGACGCAGCCCGAGAGTTTTTTTACACAGCCCACAATGACAAATATATTGAGAACCACTGCTTTCCAGTCACACACTCTTAATCTTACCCCTCAGCACACAAGAGACAAGAACAATTGGGAGATCAGGAGTTGCTACAGACACAAGGCTAGCAGTCATGCTTCTGAGCTAAAGCCCTGAAGGTCTGTGGCCAGGACATCACTCTTACTACTAAATGGGAAGGAAATGGGCAGTGGAATCACACAGACAGTCCATTCAAGTTGGGTTGCATTTTTATAGCCATCCTCGGATGCAAGCCAACCAAGCCTAATCCAGACACTTAGCATCTGTGCAGTGCTACTAAAGATGCCAGACAGTCCCACCAACTGGATTCCTTCATAAGCATGCTGGGCAACATAAGCTTCCAATACACCTCATCCCTCAGCTTAAAGAAAGGCATTCCTATTGCAGTGCATTCAGTCTTTAAAGGGGGTAGGACCAACAGCTCGACAGCTAAAAACTTGACCAAGACCACCTAATTTCAGTCATGTTTTTCTCCCTCCCGTGCCTCCACCCATCAGAGATAGGGGAATGAAGACAGCCAATTCCAGTTCACGCTTGCACTTTATTATATACTGAAAAATGATGAGTGTCAAAGAACCACAACAACACGGGACAGAAGCGGTGAGTGAGGCCCAAAGGTGCTGTCCTCACCCCCGGCACAGCCAATCAGCAATAATTTATACAAACACTTCCATAAATAAGTTAATTCATAAATAAAACTGTAAAAAGAGAAAGCAGCAAGGAATGATTTCCGGGGCTGTGGCATGTTCACAGTACTGACAATACCAATGCTATTCCGCACATAGCCACACGACAGCAGTGAGGTAGGGACATGGATCCCTTTCCCACTGCAGTAGTGAGATCACAACCCATCAGTCACAGGCAAAAGCTACACAGTTCATTACTGATGCATTTCACTGCTGTGGCTAGAAGAGCCTTTTCTAGGCACAGGAAAGGGTATGTGGAGAGTGTTCTCAACAGAGGTGGGCTGTAATAGTTACAGCAGGCCTGGATCATTAGGGCAGAGTTGCTGGGACTGTTTCTCTCCCCTCGCCTAAGATGCTAAACTCAGTTACAGGAGATGGACGTGTCAGCGTTATTAGATAAATCAGGATAAGAGACAATCCTTGCCTTCAGGGCAGGGGAGCTACATGCCTCCTCTGTGGGCACCAGTCTTTGAGTCAAAGCAAGCTGTGGATGCTCTCCCAATGCCTTCTGGGGCCCAGGCAGGGACCTTGGCCACTGGCATGGAATGGGTCAGGGAGACAACAGCAGCGACTACACCCCTGGCAAGGACTCATTGGCCCATTTCTGCTTGGAAACAGCAGGCACCATGGGGAGCACAAGAGCCACAGCTCAGAAACAAACAAAAGAGTGGAGGGCATAGCAGTAAAAGGCCGCCATTGGTTATATACAGAAGAAAAATAAGACAGCCTGCCCTCACTCATTGAGGGAGGGGGAGCAAACAGACAGTGGTTTGGCTTGCACATGCCCCCAACTGGCCTTTAGTACAAGGGCTTCCAGTTCTCCTTTAGTCAGTGGTAGCAGATTTAACTGAAGGGGAATGATTTGCTCAGGCAAGTTCAGTTCTTGGCAATATAAAGGAAGAAAGACAACTACTCATACCTTGGCCCCCGCAACATAAATGAATGCACATTGGACTGGTTAGAGCCAAGAATTGAGAAGAAGGGGGAGAAGAATGGGAATGGGTGGAGATCTGGACTAGGATAGGGAATCCCCTGCTCCACCCCACCTCTTACTCATCCAGGCCTGGTATCAAGTCTGCAATGCTGTCCACATAGTAGTTGGGCACCAGGTCCTTTGCAGCAGGGCTCTCGCTAGCCATGTAAGCCTGTGCCTCCTCCAGGCGGGACACGCCAGTCAGGGTCAGGACCGTGGCAAGTCCACAGTTCTTGCCGAAAAGGATATCTGTCTCCAGCCGATCTCCCACCATGAGGGTGCGGGAAGGATCCACACCAAAGCGCTCTACAATGCAGTCGAACATATATGTGTTCGGCTTCCCCACAACCACTGCCTTGCGCCCTGAGGCAGTTTCCACTGCAGCCGTGAGACTCCCTGTCCCTGGGAAGGAGAGAAACAGGCATTCACAAATCAACATGAGATTTTTACAAGTCATCTACTATGGGACTAAGCCAGCAGACAGAAGGGAGAAACGCTGAAGAAATGTTTGTTATCCAACGACAGAAAGGTAGTTAGCATCCCTGCCAGTCAGCAGAATGCAAAGGTCTCCATCCTGCCCTTTTAAGGGGTACCCCATCACTCTTATATGAGATGGGCCCTTAATGTCAGGGCCCGGCACCATCTTTTTGTTGGATTTGTGCACCCCTAGCACAGGGTGAGGAACTTTTTTTGGGTTGGAGGCCTCTGACCTGGGGGGCCGCTGACTGGGGGCTGCACACAAGTGAGAAGCAAAGAAAAAGAACCTCAAAAAGGTGGCGCACAACTGAGGAGAAAGACACTCCCCCATTTCCCTCGCACACCTACTAGAGTGTGTGCTCCAGCACAAGCTCCCCAATGCTGGGGGGAGCCCTACCCCTGTTGTAGCACCATGGAGTTTTGGTTCACAAAACAAGTTTTCTAGGCACTACCCCCATAACAATAACTACTTGCGATTCAGTGAAGTTCAAGGATTAGATTTGTTTTTTTCTAGATAAACAGAAGGAACGCCACTGTCAGTCATCATCCTCTGAAGAGGCTCCTGGGGATGGGGCATGACCCCCTCACCTGTAAGTCCCTAGGTCAATCCAACCACTGGCTGTGGGAAGTGAATTAAAACTCTCTGTAGTTTCCAGTGGGATAGGTGGCATTGTGCAACATGACCTCCCCACCATAGACACCCCCCTCCTGACCCAAAGGACCAGCCACAGAGATTAAGGGTAACCACTAGAGGTGCACCCTAGGGCTTAGGCCAGCCCCTCCAGGGTGGCAAGAGAAGCAGAACTGCCCAGGCGGGTGGCAGAGGTTCCCAGGGTGGTGATGCCTAACCCCTGCAGGGGACAGGCCTGAGTTTCTCGGGGCCCCTACTCCGTATTCCTGCGGCCCACAGACTCCTCCCCAGGTGGAGATCGCGGCCCCTCACCCGGGGTGCGCTGCCCGTCGCTGAGCGGGTGAGCCCCTCCAGGGTGGCAAGAGAAGCAGAACTGCCCAGGCGGGTGGCAGAGGTTCCCAGGGTGGTGATGCCTAACCCCTGCAGGGGACAGGCCTGAGTTTCTCGGGGCCCCTACTCCGTATTCCTGCGGCCCACAGACTCCTCCCCAGGTGGAGATCGCGGCCCCTCACCCGGGGTGCGCTGCCCGTCGCTGAGCGGGTGCCAGGGGTCGGGGTCGGTGGCCACCAGCAGGCACTGTGGGTCGCGCAGGTAGCCGCAGGCCCCGGACAGCCTGGCG